CGTGTAGATGCATTATGTTCCCTCTGGTTTCTATTTTAAAGATAATAAACGATGGAGATGTTTGAGTTATGAGAAATTAGTTCAAACAGTAATTAAAGAACAAAACCTGTAGGGCAGGCTGTTTTGAGACCACCGAAAAAGAAGTGTGGCTTCTGCTTCTAACAGACCAAATAATCTGAATCAACCTACCCACTGTGTTCAACTAGAAAAATTACCCAAGAGTATAAGAAAACATCTGTTAAAGGTAAAAAGGTATCACAAGAGTACAGGGTCAAGATCCAAGAAAGGACAGAAATGCAGAGAGAGGAGCCCAGGGTGAAGGGTTGCCTGTCCCCTGAAGGCATCGATGAGTCTTAGAGAGGCAGATGGAGCTAAAGCAATAAAAGCTGGGGTGCCAATGGCAGGGCCCTCTCTAAATCTCCCATGCCTGGATGGGAATGTGAAGATCTGGGAAAGTGATACCCTTGGAGAAAGAGTGAGCCAGATGTAAACCAGCCTTGGTATCAACTGCAGCCCAATTTCAAAACATCTGGGCAGTTGAGAAAGTCTCAGTCCCAGAAATTGAAGTAAGGTGATTTTAAATTGCTAGTCCCATGGGGTTCCTGGAAGAAGCAAAGAAAAAAATAACCTCTGGAAGAAAATAAGTCCATTCAAGGTCTTAAATTATTTCTGTAAATAATTATTTTTCAAATAGAATGCCCAATACGAGTGTGTATACGTACACACGCAGACACACACTCTGCACAGTAGTATGAGGAGACAAGTCAATATAAACAAGGTTAGAATCCCCAGACACAGCCATTAAAATAACTGTGTTTACTTTCTTTTGGGATAGAAAGGACCAGGTTGAAAAAACAATTCAGCAGAAAGCTGGAATCTATTAAAAGTACAGAGATGATGTGAAAAAGAACCAAACAGAAATTCTATAGCTGAAAAATACAGTGGCCCGATGAATGAAGCTAGCAGCATATTTTTTACAGGCCAAAGAAGAATTAGTGAACTTAAAGATGAGCCATATGAAAATATTCAGAATGAACCATGAAGAGATGAAAGGAGAGTGGGAAAAAGTATGAGAGGTCAGAAGATACAGAACATTCTGAGAAAGTCTAACAGATACTTATGTACAGTTCCAAAATAGGGTTCTAGTGGAAGATATACTTAAAGAGATAATGGCGGCAAATCTTTCAAAACTGGCAAAAGTCATCAATCCAGCTATTCGAGACCACACCAAACCCAGAGTGGGGGGTATAGAATACGCACCTAGGCACATCATGTAAAACTGCAGAAAATCAGATCCAAAGAGTAATTTGTTAGATTTAATAGTAAAAAGAAAAAAAAAATAACTTACTTTCAATGGAGTAATAATTAGACCAAAGACAACAACAGAAAAATCAAAGGACCATGGAATGACATCTCTAAAGAGCTGAAAAACATAGCTGCCAACCTAGATTCCATACCCAGTTCATATATTCTTATAGAATGAAGATGAAACAAACGTATTTCCTGACAGAAGCTGAGAGGATTCACCACCAGCAGACTCATACAAAAGGGATTCTAAAGAAGGAGAAATCAAGTAGAAATTGGAAACAATTTTGAATTGAATGAAGAAGGCTAAAACTTGTGGATGCAACTAAAGGTGTGTTCAGAGGGTGATTTACTTTTAATTATGACTCATATGCATTTATTAGAAAAAATTAAAGCTAAAAGGTAACATGCTAAACATCTTTGTGGATATTGCAGTCATTAAAAAGGAGAAGAGCATATAATGAATAATCTTAGACCAATAAGTTTGAAAATTGGGATTAAATTAATTTTTCTAGAAAAAAATGTAGTTTACCCAAACTGACACTAAGTGAAAAATATGAATAATTTGATAACTATTAAAGAACTCAAACCTGAATTAAAACCCTTCTCACAAAGAAAATGTCAGGCCCAGATAGCTTTACTGGTGAATTCTACCATACAATTAAGAAAGAAACAAGAATCTGAATAAGATTCTCAATAAGAATCTTATGACTGGTGGAACAAATTCTGCCAGAGAAAAGGAAAAAGAAAACCCTCTCCCACTTCTCAATTTGTTATATGAGTTGCCTTACACATGTACCTGACAGGAACATAACAGAAAGGAAAAAGACAGACTAATTGCATGTGGAAACACAGATGCCACCGTCTTAAAAGGATACCCTATAGGTAGACAGACAGATTAATTGCAATGTGTGTGCACGATCTATGAAAAGAATAACACATTAGGCTAATCTTATGCCTTTCGCCAGACTAATAAAGGATAAATGATAGGATCATCTCAGTAGATGCTGGAAAAAAGTTGATCAAATTCAACATCCAACTTCATAAACGTAAAAGTTCTAGAAAAACTAGAGCTAGGAAGGAGTCTGTACCTAAGGATGAAATGTTGAACACTATTCATCTGAGACGGCTATGAGATAAGACTATTCGCTATTAGCCCTGCTACTTCACAGTGTACGCAAGGTCCCAGGTAGTACGGTAAGGCAAGAACAATAAATAAAAGGACAGGGGGATTAGAAAGGAAGGAATAAAACTGTCATTATTGGTATACAATGTGATGCATGCAGAAAACTCAAAAGAATCTACTGAGAGGCAATTAAAATTAATCAGAAAGCTTAGCAAGGCCTCTGAATATAAGATCAACATATGCAAGTTTTGAATTGCTCGGCCATTGTTTTAGCTCAGGCTATCATAACAAAATACAATAGACTGGGTAGCTTAAATAACAGATAATTATTTCTTACATCTGGAGGCTAGAAGTCTAAGATAAGGGCGCCAACATGGTTGGGTTCTGGCGAGAGCCCTCTTCCTGGCCTGTAGCTGGCTACCTTCTCACTGTGTCCTCCTGTGGAGAAGAGAGAGTGAGCTTTAATCTCACTCTTCTTATAAGGACACTAGTCCCATTGTGGGGCCTCTACCCTCATGATCTCATCTAAACCTGTCTACCTCCTAAAGGCCATATCTCCAATTACTATCACATTGGGAGTTAGAGCTTCAACGTATGAATTTGGTGGGGGGACGCAAACCATCTATAAAACCACACAGGGTATGAAAAAATTTAAAGTTAGTTTATATTAATATCAGAAATCAAATGCCTAGGAATAATTAAAGATATGCGAGCTTCTAGACAGAAAACTAAAATGTTATTAAGAGGCATTAAAGAAGAATTAAATAAATGGAGACATGAGTGACTCAGTTTTATAAAGACTCAAGTCTTCTCAGATTTACCTATAAATTGAATGCTACTCAGATTTACCTATAAATTTAGTGCTGTCTCACATTTACCTATAAATTTAATGCCATAATTTTTGGTGGTGGTGGTGGGTTTTTTTTTTTTGTAAAATTGGAAAAATTAGTTCTAAAATACTGATGGAAATATAGCCAGAGACGATTAAAAGAACAAGACAGAAGTATAGGAGGGCTTACTCTAAAGGATATTGACTTTACAAGGCTACAAAAGTTAAGAGAGCATGGTGTTGGTACAAGGATAAATAGAGTGATGGAACAAACTAGAAAGCCCAGAAACAGATCCAGGCACATATGAACACTTGATATAAGATAAAAATGACATCACAGAACTATGGGGAAAGGAAAATCTTTTCAACAAATGGTTCTGGAAAAATTGGATATCCATGTAGAAAACTAATGAAACTATACCCTACCTCATACCATATGCAAAAGTCAGTTCCAGGTGGATTATAATTCAAAATCTGAAGTGCAAATTTAGAAGGGAATATAGGAGAATATTGTCATGGTCTTGCTATAGGGCGAGACTTTTTAAATAGGGCAGAAAGCATTATTATTAAAAAAGATTGATAAACTGGACTACATTCAAATTAATTTTGTTTATCAAAGACACCATTAAGGGAGAGTAAGAGAGAAAAATGCAAGACACGGAGTGGGAGAAGCTATTTGCCACATATACAACCAATGAAGGGCCAGTATCCAGAAGATAATATTTTTAAAGAAAAAGAAAAAAATGTATAAGCCAATTAGAGAAAGTCAGCAGCCTAGTAGAAAATACAAAAGGATTTGAACACACACTTCATAAAAAATAGGTCTCAAAATGGCCAGTAATCCTTAGTCACCAGGGAAATGTATACGTTAAGCACAATGAAATACCACTATAATACCCACCACAATAGTCAAAATTGTAAAAGACTGAAAATATCAAGTGTCTAAAGAATGCAGAACAACAGAAACACGAATACATACTGTGAGATTGCATTCGCATAAAGTTCAAAAACAGGCGTTTTTGAAAATTTATAAATTTTGAAAATGTGAAAAATTTTGAAAAATTATAGCGTTTAGAGATACATTCATTTACAGGGTAAAACTATAAAGGAAAGCAAGGAAGCAATCACCGTAGAATCAGCCCAGTGGTTACCTTTGTGGAGGAGGCAAGGAGGAGCTTTCAACTGGGGAGGGGAGTGTGGAGTGAGAGGGTGGAAGGGCTGGCAATGTTCTGTTCCTTGTCATGGGTGGGTGGCAAGACACATTGGCTTTTTTTTTTTTTTTTTTTTTTTTTTTTTTGCGGCACGCAGGCCTCTCACTGTTGTGGCCTCTCCCGTTGCAGAGTACAGGCTCCGGATGCGCAGGCTCAGCGGCCATGGCTCACGGGCCCAGCCGCCCCGCGGCATGTGGGATCTTCCTGGACCGGGGCACGAACCCGTGTCCCCTGCATCGGCAGGCGGACTCTCAACCACTGTGCCACCAGGGAAGCCCGACACGTTGGCTTTGTATTAATTCTGTGAGCTCTATACACGCACGCACACACACACTTTTCTGTATATGTTATATTTCACCGTAACAAGGACTAAAAATAAATCAGATAAATGAAAAATTTTAAGTTAAGGACAAAAGAAAAGGAAGGAGGAGATTGACTTTAATGTATGGTTTAATTGCTGGCTGGATATTCAACTATTCCAGGATAAGTTTAAACAGAAAAGAGTAATTGCCGCATATATTCTTCACAGACACTCCACTACTGAAACGGAGCAGGACCCTACAGTCCTTCCCCCACGTGTCCTCAGCCTGCCTTCTGTCTGTGAAAAAAACTTCAGCCGAAGCATAAGTTTAATCAGACAAGTGCGAAAATGCAGAAACAAAGGAAAACAGTCAAACAGGACAAAACAGTAATAGTTCAGTTAGTAAACAAAGCCAAGAACCTTTAGTTCCTCCTCAAGGGCTATAGATAATATTCACAGCCATGTCCTGTGAGCTGTCTTGTAGATACTGAAACCCCCAGGAGGTGGGAGAAGTCAACTACATGATGACTAGACTGTAGCCATGTTAGAAGCTGCCATAATTCCGAGAATTGGCCTCAAGGAAGTGGGAACAAACCGACGCTGGAACTGAAGATTAACTGTACCTAAAACAGTCAAGATGACGCTGGTCAGACCACCCCATGACCAGTTTCAAGATGACTGTCGGAGCTGACTGTGTTGTTTCTGCATGTAGCCCCTTCCCCCTCAGCCTGTAAAAGCTCTTGCCCACTGGTAATGGCGGGTGGGGCGGGGGGAGTTGGCCTTTGGACAGGAGTCCGCCTCCATCCCCCCTCCCCCCCACTCCCATTTGCCGGCATCCAAATTAAAGCAAACTTTCCTTTCCACCAACCTTGCCTGTTTATTGGCTTTTGAGCGGCGAGCAGCCAGACCCCCACTGTCAGTTACACTGTTACATCAGAAAGTCGATTCTCCTCGTCTTGGCCATCCTCCCTGACTTTAAGGGACCACGCTGGCCTAGAAGATCATTATTTCAGGAACTGAGAAGGGGAAACCACCACAGAGGATGCTTCATTATTAATGATTCTTAATGATACCACTTATGGAGATCTCATTACGGGCAAGTTATACCAAGCACTTCGCAGCCTTTATTTCAGTTAACCCCCGCAACAACCCTCTAGTATTGTCCCAATGTTCACATGTGGAAACTAGGCCTACGGTCGCTATAGGACTTTCCCAAGGACTCTCAGGTTGTACGTGGAGAGTCTGGGCAACCCAGGCAGTCTGACTCTGCAGCCCACACTTAACTTTACACTAAAACTGGTGGGTCTCTGTATAGAAATGTCCTTCTCTGCTTAAATCCTAGCTAACTAAAGACAAGAGTTGTACAATGAAGCTGAGGTGCAAGATAGATAGAGCTTACTCCTGCTTCTTCACTAACTTCAGGAAAAGTACCAGTATCTGGTGATTTCTGTGCTGGGGGCTTTGCGCAGGTCACTTTATCCAATCCTCACAACCACTCTGCCAAAGAGACAGTGCTGTCCTGTTTCCCTATGCAGCATCGGCTATGGGCTGAATATTTGCCTGAAAACTAAAACTGCATTTGATGAAGAGGAGTGAATCACAGCTAATCCACCGTGGACCATAAGGCATAAGATGTTGCATTCCTGGAATCAGTGAGGACTCCCAAGGGCTCCATTCAAAACCTTTCAGTTAGGGTTTCCTTTAGAGATAGGGGGTTTTCACCAAAAGTCTGAAATTAGCCCTTGGATTTCAAAACATTTAGAAAACAGTTGAGAGAGTCAAACAGAAAATAGGATGCGTGTAGCAGACATGGGACTTTGGAACTGCCAACCTCTTCCAAAACCACAGTTGTAAGCATGTGACTCCAGCTTGGCCAGTTAGAGAGCTTCTCTACCGTTTGGTGCATGGACATAGAGAGAGAAGTCCTAGAAGGGGTGATATAGACTAGACTTGAGGCTACTGGCACTCATCCTGCTTATATTTGGAGAAGTCTGATGCAGGACAATCCCCCAGAGGAAACGGAGACAAAAGATAAAGGGAGGAGAAGAATTGTCTACAGCCACCCCATCCTTCATAGTTAAAAGGTCAAAAAGGCACTTTTCTCTGGAGGCTCATTTGAAATGGGGTTTCCTTACTTGGCATCAAGAGTCCTGGCTACAACATGGGCCCAGATTGCTTGCCTCCTAGAGGACCTCTTTAACTTTGAGGCTCTAGAACTCAATCACCAACTCTTGGTTGAGGTCCCACTTGGAGCCCAACACTGTCTGAGGCACAGTAGGTGAAGTGCGTCCCTGCCCCAGAGATGCTGATGACGAATGTGAAGCAACACGACTGATTTAAGAACAAGCAAGCGTGTAACAGCGTTCTGCGCAAGTCGGCAGTACAGTGTCAATCCTACCTGTGGCCAAATCGATTTCTCTACCTTATCCCACCATAAAGTAGTTGACTTTGTGTCGGTTGTGTCTACCACCCCATGCCCACAGACAATTACATGCCCTCCAAGAGCCAGCCCCACGGTCTAGGGTTAGCCAATCAATTTTAATGCGCATTTAAGAGATTTTTCCAAGTGTGCGAGTCCTCGCGTAAGATGATAGATCACCTAATAATTAAAGCATTAGAAGAGCCCAACGGAGGATTCTTTTTCCACCAGCAGATACCTTTAGGTCAAGAAGGGCTATAAAAACCGGCACATCATTTTCATTCCTTTAAGAAAGGCAAAAAGTGGCCTTGAATATAATTAGATGTTCTTAGCAATTTTCCTCTGAATCTCCATATCGTGTTCCAGTGAGGCTCCAAAAAAGTTAAGAATTGTGGGCATTCTGAGCTGCAAGCCGATAGGGTGGTATTGTTTTGAAGAAGTGAAAGCCCATGATATTGCATGAATCATTTTTTAATTAGAAATAAGCCAGAGTCATAGATAGTTATGGGAAAGGGAAGCTCTGTAACAGGGCTCCCCTTAGAACTCTGCCCCCTCTCTTATCTCTCTGGTGACTCCTGCAGATTCCAGAGTTATCCATTTGGAAAAAGGAATATGCCCAAGGCAGTGAATCAGCATTTATCTGTGACAAGCATTTATCAAGGGTTTGCTTTATACTCTCCTTTCAAGGATCTGTTGTCTATCTGAACAGGGTTTTTTTTTTTTCTCTTTTTTTTTTCTTTTTAAGTTTGATGATCTTGTTTGTGGTTAATTTTTATTTCTTTAATCCTTCAAAAGAATGACACTCAATGGAAATGAAAAGTAGTGCAAAAGTTTAAAAGAAAATTATTTCCAATAAAACCTAAGAACTCCCCTCATTCTGGGTAAGGTTTCATGATGCTGCAGTTAAAAATATAGCTTCTTTATATAGAATATCTTACGTCAACTGTGACCTGACTCTTAAAATACACATCTACACCCTCAAACTCACCCGAGGTCATACAAAAGAATGAACATATCAAAATAGGAAATATGTTAAGTTTATGATCCTTTTAAGTGGGACATCAGATCATGTCCCTCCCCTATACTTTGTAAAGCCAACCAGGACCTAATCACAGGAGGCCTTGTAGGCCACGGAGAAGGACTCAGGATAGGATCCAGTCTCATCTCCCCTGACTCTGCCCCACACTCTTGCCTCCAGCTTTCCTGCTCCCTGGCGGTTACTAGATTATGTCAGACAAGCTCCCGCCTCCGGGCCCTGGCATTTTTTGTCCCTCCTGCCTGGAATTCTCTCCTTTCCTCCCTCCATTCTGTATTTGACTGAAATGTCATCTTCTCAGAAGGGCCTTCCCCAAGTTCCCAACCTAAAATAGAGCCCCGTTTCCTCCTATCCCTTAAACTTGCCTTATTTTTCTTCATAAGGCTCACAATCACCTGTCATCATATTATAGACTTGTTTGTCTGTACCTTACACTAGCAAGTAAGTGTCCGAGGACAGGGCCATTGTCTTTAGAACTTAGAACAGTGCCTGGCATCTCAGGGGTGCTCAAAAACACTGAGTGAATGAATGAGTGACAATATTTCTTTAGAATCTAGACCTTTCTCTGGGCCAGGTACTACACTAAATGCTTCACTTGTGTCATCTTTAGTCCTCATAACAACTCTTACGATGTAGATGCTACTATTTTCCTGACATATAGATGATGGAACTGAGGCACAGGTGGGCAAAGTAACTCGACCAAGGTTGCACAGCTAACAAGTCACAGGCCTAACTTGAGCCCAGAGCCCATGCTCTTAAATATTAAGTCAACCCTTTAGATACTCCCAGGGGTCCCCCCACCCCCAGAGCAGCTTCACTGTGTGCTCTCCCCAGAGCCTGCACCCCAGGGTACTGTCTTAGAGCAGTGCTGTCCAATAGCAACAGAATGTGAGCTACACATGTCCTTTTACATTTTCCAGAAGCCACGTTAAGGACAGATTAAATTAATGTTAATAATATGTTATATTTACCCAATATATCCAAATTTAATCATATCTTTATAATATGAAAAATTCCTAATATAAAAATTATACAAATATAAAAAAATAATGTGATATTTTAAATTCTTTGTTTAGAGTAAGTCTTTGAAGGCCGGTAGATATTTTATACTTTCCGCCCATCTCCATTCAGACTAGCCACGTTTTTCAGTGCTCATTCACCATGTGTGGGTGGTGGCTACTATGCTGGACATTGCACCTGTGAAAAGGGGTTGAGCTCTGGAGTTAAGGAGATCTTGTTCCAATCCTGCACTTACTGTGTGACTTTTTCCCAGCTGTTAAACTGGGGTTCTGATATCTACGCCACGGGACTGAAGTGAAGATTAAATGAGTTTTCCATAAGTAAGGCTGCACACACCTAGCACAGGAGCTGGCCAATCGATGCTCTGGACGGATGGCTTTCCCTCCCACCCAGAAAAGAGAAGCTTCTGAGCACAGCCTTCAGGGCCTCTCTCCTCACTCCAGTTGAGCCCTTTGAGCCAGTGCCTCTGCTTCCACTGTCTGCCAGGGGTGGGGAGGTCTCCAGTGGGAGGGACAGAGTGGGGCAGGGGGGGGCCCCTGGCTCGAGGCCTTCTCCCCTGGACCATCCACCTGAGCTCTGGAGAATAGGTGAGCCTCCTAGCCCCCTTGCAGGGCACATTTATAGGGCTCTGCATTTCCCCAGGGGTCTCTTCCTGGACAAAATAACCCTTAAATCCCCAAGGTGAGCAATCAGCTATCAGCGGAAGAGAAAGTTTCCATCTCCCTACGGAGAAAAATCCGAGACTCTGAGCATCTTTGGGCTGGAAGGGAGTTTAAAGAGCCGTTACTTCAACCTGTGGTTTTACAAAGGAAGAAACTGTGGTCTAGAGAGCAGATACAACTTGCTCAGGCACACACAGTGATGGTACAGGCTTAAAACTAGACCCTTTGCATTTACAGTCTATCTGGACACCTGTAGAGATGGAGCCATAGAGATTTCCCTATATGGGCAGCTGACACCTCTCTACGGGATACGTTCATCTTTGTCTTTTCACAATCTGCATTTCATTCTCAGCACTAGAAACTCGGGAGAAGCAGGGTAGTGTGAAATAGGCACTATTCCCAGTAGCCTTCAACTGTGTTTTCTTGCCAGTTTTCTACCCTTGATCTTTTGGTGCCACATAGAACTTAAATGTAATTCACGTTAGCCTATTTGTGAGTAACTGAAGTAAACCATAACTTATTTG